AAAGAAAGAAATGTAAAATATTTGAAGATAATTTTATCCTGTGTGTTCTTAAACAAGAGTCCTCAAAGACTTCAAAATAATTCCTAGCAATATAGCATAAGATATGGAAGGTGGTGTAATTCCCAGCAATACAGCATAAGATATGGAAGGTGGTAAGATATGGATATTGTGGTGTATTTTGGTGTGTGTTATATATTTCAAACAACAGTGTGGTATTGCCTGAGCTGAATATATAAATTAAAAATATAAATGCAAAAATAAAAAAATCATTTGTCTCAGGGGGTTTTTATCCCTGAATATCCTCCAAAAGGCAACAGAACACTGTTAGCTTGAAATGACATATTAGAGAGTAAATATTTTTCCTAAGAAAATATTAGGGCCTTTTATTGTCCTCATTGAAAAATTTAGGACCAAAGGTTTTCTCTAACTCTAGGCTGAGTATGCAGCATCTCTGATCTTTATTTGCGATGTGAGGAGCAACTGTGAGAAAGTTGGATAACTTATCTAGTTCGTAAAATTTGTTTTTTATATTCAGGTACAGTTTTCATTCCTCTACTTTACTTTTAACGTAGAATTTCTGCTGTTTCCTTTGGACTTTGAATCCTCAGTAATAAACACAGTGCCTCTTAAATTTTAATAATGCTTATTAGACACTTGTTGACCACTTAAGTGAGAATAAATGACTCTTTCCCCGAAAATTATAGTTAGAGGCTTTCCTGGATATCAGCTTTCAGGAATTTGCCAAGTGGACTAGAAAGAAACTTAATTCAGTTCAACAAATACTTACCGAGTGCCATCTCTAGTGCATTGGGGATAGAGAACTGGTTTAGATAAAATAAATACAGTTAGTTCCTCTGTTGTTAAAAAGCAGAAAGCAGAATTCATAGGTGGGGATGTTGGTTAAGTGGACATATGTGATGTAAGAATCTGTGGAAGTTCTCTTAAGATTGCTTCAATTTGCTCAGTAAAGTGAATGACTGCTCTCAGCTAAGAGGTAATTGTGGAGAGGCTTTGGGGTTTGAGGAAAGAAGACAGGAATACTTATCTAGACGATTTTGAGAAAACATAGTATAAACATTGGCATTAAGAGCCTATTTGTGGCTCGGCGCCTGTGGCTCAGG